CTACTGGGATGTGGTCGTGCGTATATATCTCGCTGGCATCTTCACAACCACGGACCCTGCTGTGTGGCAATGGCAATAGCTATCACTTCAGTGGCTGCTGTTCGGAAGCTATCTCCGTGTTTCTCGCCTGGTTTCTAACTTTCTTCTCTATTTGCAGAGCGTAAACGGCGGAGGGACACGCAGATTAAAGGCGGGCTGAATATTGATTGCTTCTTGCGGGGATGCCGCATTAGCTAATTGATCAGTATCGGGGAAAGATGGAGTGGCTATCATTACGCGATCAATAGTCATCAAAAGTTGTATTAGATATCGAAATTTATAAAGGAAGGAATCAAATTAATCAATCAAGCCAATCAATCAATCAATCAAACAGCCAACCAATCAATCAAGCAATCAAGCAATTATTTATAAATTCTTTAATCAAGAAATCAGCAATAATCGAATATGTACTATTTATTCTAGATTCAATATGTTTGGCATCTACGTCGTCATGTTTCTGGAGATCTTGCGCACGCTCCTGCAAGTCTTGCCTCGTCTTCTCCATCCTCATCCGTCGCATTCGGTCTCCTTTCTACATCTACTATCGGACCGAGCGTAAGCTAACCACTGAAAATTCACCATACGCGGTGTACCCACGCCACGCAGGCCACGCACGCACGCCACGCACGCACGCACGCACGCACGCCGCACGCACGCACGCACGCACGCACACACGTTACGGCCGCGCACAACGTACGTCCACGCACGCACCACCCACGCACGCGCACGCACACGATCGCACGCACGCACGCACGACGCACGCACGGACTCACGGAACGCACGCTTACACACACCACACACACATACACACACCACACACGCCACACACACACACACACACACAATACCGACACACTAACGCGTCTTGTGTTCTCCTCTCCCTCCCTCTCTCTCTCTCTCGCAGCCGAACGAAGCGCATAAGAACCCGGGCATCTCGCTACTGCGGGTGACGACGATGATGCTGGGAGAGATCACGCTCGTCGACTACTTTGTGCAGCCTTTCTTCGACGACGATCCGGACACACTGCACTTCCCGTTGCTGACGATGATGTTCCTCGTCATGTTCATCTTGCTGATGCCTATACTACTCATGAACCTGCTGGTGAGAGTGCATCATTAAGCGAACAGACATATTTGCTTATTTTCGCATTTTTGATTTTCATATTTGCGTTTTTGCATTTTGCATTTTTGCATTTTTGCTCTTATTTCATCACGCTTTACTACGTCTATAATATGTCTCTGCGAGCCTGCACCGACGCTCTCGCTCATACTATTGGTGCGTCTCTAGCAAGCTCGAACCCGTTCGTACTACGATTTACTACGCCCAACAACGTTTAGACCACCCTTGTGTATGTTCGCATTACCTTTAGTTCGCTCAGAAATACGATCCTTGCAAAACTTGGTGTGTATAAATTGGGGTGCTACCCTGGCAGCCCACCAGTTCAGGTCCACATTATGGTGAGCGCAACACTATACTTCATGCCAGTGTTTCTCGTAGAAGGACACACTCGACATTACTTTGATTGCCAAGCCCTCTGATTCCAGGCAACACTTTGATGGAGATAATGGACTCCTGCCACCTTTTTGCGATTTCTTTGCCTCGGCTTTTTCCCTTCACGCCTCTTCCCTTTGTCCTTTGGCAGGCATAAGTTGTGTCCAGTTAGAAAATATCTTGATGTAATCATTGACTAGCCACGGCAGAATGAATGATGACATGTTCTAAACGCGGCGCGGTATTTTATATGATCGTGCCAGCGCATCGTGCGCGTGTATTGGCGCGCAGTGCAGGCCGAGGTCGAGCGTTACTAGGCGCAGTGCAAAGCCCGTTCGAACGCGATTGCGATCTGATTGTCGCAATAAAGACGCAAGTAGCGCAGTGCAAGCGTGATGCGTGGCGCTGAGGGTGTGGCGTGTGAAGCTTGTTAGCTGCAATGAGATTGGGTAAGACGCACTTAGATCGATGTATGACGTAATTTAGATTGTAATATCGGCGCGGGCCCGCGCTGGGCGCCCAATTAGCCACGCTCTCAACCACGCTCCAATACGCTCGGGCAAACTTTTTGCAGCGTGGGGCGATGGTGATTGCAGCGTAGCTCTAGTGCTAAAGGCCCATTAAACGCTGTCTGTCTTTCGCGCCGCTCTCTCTCTCTCTCTCTCTCTCTCTCCTCTCTCTCTCTCTCTCACTCACCCTCTCTCTGATATTCTCTCCGTCTCCGTTTTCTTCTCTTTGCTCTCGCTCGTTCACTTTCTCTTTCTCTCTCGCTTTAGCGTCTGCTTGTTGGTATTAGTGTTGTGGTCGAATCCTGTGCCGCCGTGTTGTTGTTTGTGTGTGTGTGTGTGTGTAAGTGTATTGTTGTGCGTGGTCGCGTCGGTACCTTCCACGGTCTCTCCCGTGATGTTTTGTGTGTTGTGGTGTAGTGTGTGTGTCGTGTGCGTTGGTGTTGGTGTGCTGTAGTGTTTTGTTGTTGTGCTTTTGTGGCTGTGTGTGTGGTGAGTGTTTTGTGTTGTGCTGCGCGCGCGGATGTGGTGGTGAATGTGTACGTGCGTGTGTGTGTGTACATGCGCCCCTGTGCGCGATGTGCCGTGCGCGCACAAACACATGCGCGATCATTTCATGAATGCTTGCTTTTCTCGCTTTGCAGATCGTTTGGCCGTCGAGCACCATTAGATCGTGATAGCAGTGAACAAACTTAAGCGGATCGCAAACCATGGTGCGCGCTCCACACTGACATGTCAGCAGAAATTGCCCCTGAAGTTGTATCATACACACGGACCTGTCAGAGATGTCGTCTATCCAACCGAACCGACACAGCCAACTCGCCTGTCTGTGCGCAGTACGTCAATCCTCACTTGCTTTTATTATTCACTTTAATTTACATATTTATTAGCTTGTTATATAAACTATCATTAACGGGTAATTATTAGATCTCTTACTTAGTCATAATGCATTATCATTGTGATTCATTCAGGAACTATATATAATATCGTAGGTGTGTGTGTTTCCGTTGTTCTACATGTGTGTGTGTTTTGGTGTGGTGGTGTTGTGTTGTGTATGTGTGTGTGTGTGTGTGCGTGTGTGTGTGTGTGTGTGTGTGGTAGAGATATCCCCTATTCCCCAATATATTATTATTTATTAAAATCTTTTAATACAATTATCTTATTAAATGTAATTGAAATACAAGTGCCACTACTGAAAACAAGTTTTTGTCTATTTTCCTGTTAGTGCCTAGACAAGCTGTACGACGCAGCTGACGGTTCGGTCGCTCGATGGGCATGACGATAGGCCGACGTCCACGCCTGACGAGCTGACGGTCGAACTCTCAAGCAAAAGACCAGTAAGCTCTTCGATGTGCTTCTATAGCAGAAATATATGCCATAGTTATGATTCAATAGGCGTGGTGTCGTGTGCGTGGTGGCTGTCGTTTGTGTGCCGCGTGCGTGCGTGCGGCGCTGCATGTGTGTTGTGCCGTCTGCTGTTTGTGTTGTGCCTGGTGCGGCGGGCTGCGTCGGCGTGCGTTGCGTGCGTGCGTGCATGTGCGTGCATGTTGTGCTGCTGTGTGTGTGTGGTGTGTGTGTGCGGTGTTGTGATGGGTGTCCGT